TAACGTTAGCACCAACTACTTGGCCAACAAGTGTGCTAGCTAGAAGCTAAGGTTAGCATGACAAGCTACACCACTGCTTGCAATCCTACCAGATTAGCGTTAAGCTTTTAGCTAATGCTAACTAGTCTGGCGACCCAAGTTAAAGGCTTTCCCTGATTAATTAACATCGCCAAGCGGCGGTTTACACAAAGCTACAGATGCTACAAACCACCCGGTAACAAATCCGCTTTATTTGCAGGCTAGCGAAGACGACGCAGGAGCAGCAGAGCTCACCGGAGATTCCTCACCAGTTAAACTTGAACACAACTTCACTCCCGGTTTGGAAAACGTTTGTTAATCCGTTAAAAGTACTTCCTCCGTTACATGGGGCCTTGGCGGTGCGCGACGCGTACAAATAAGTTAGTAAAAATGTGGCTACAACTATTTACAAAGCGACTTTTCTTCTATCTTTTCGGCCCTTGGATAATTCCGTTATGGCGAAGGGGAAGCGGAACTACCGACCCAGCCCTAGCCTATTCAATAATGCTTCAAGTGAATGGTGTGTGTGAAGTTTGTCTGCTGTCTGTCTCCTCACTGTGCAGCCCCTGTGTGCATACTCATCTGATCATATTATACTACACCAACAGCTCTAGTAACAAACATAGTTTTCATAATTGGTCATATTTAAAGCCAGAAATATGTTAAAACATCAGAAACTGGAAGTTAGAGGTTGAATCAGGTCGAAAAGCATTTTAGGTAATGTAGTTCAATATTTATAATATGTGACGAGGAGGCTGAGTGATACCAGACTGTATAAATAATCCATCAGATAGATAAGATAATTTTAGATAAGATAATTTCAGATGATTTAAGATAATTTCAGATAAGATCATTTCAGATAATTTAAGATAAGATAATTTCAGATAAGATGATTTCAGATAATTTCAGATAAGATAATTTCAGATAAAATAATTTAACATGATTTCAGATAAAATAATTTAAGATAATTTAAGATAAGATCATTTCAGATAAGATAATTTCAGATAAAATAAGATAAGATAATTTCAGATAAAATAAGATAATTTCAGATAAGATAATTTAAGATAAAATAATTTCACATAATTTAAGATAAGATCATTTTGGGGCTTCGGTGGCTTAGTGGTAGAGCAGGTGCCCCATGTACAAGGCTGTTGTTGCAGCAGCCTGGGCCCTTTGCTGCATGTCATCCTCTCTCTCTCTCCCCTCTTCACACTTACCTGTTCTGTCCATTAAAGGCAAAATGGCCCAAAAAATATCTTATAAATAAAATAAAATAAGATAATTTCAGATAAAATAATTTCAAATAATTTTAGATAAGATCATTTCAGATAATTTAAGATCATTTCAGATAAAATAATTTCAGATAATTTAAGATAATTTCAGATAAAATAATTTCAGATAATTTAAGATAAGATCATTTCAGATAATTTAAGATAAGATCATTTAATTTAATTTAAAGGGATAGTGTACCCAAAAATGAAAATTCAGCCATTATCTACTCACCCATATGCCGAGAGAGGCTCAGGTGAAGTTTTAGAGTCCTCACAACACTTGCAGAGATCCAAGGGGAGAGGAGGTAGCAACACAACTCCACCTAATGGAGGCTGACGGCGCCCCAGATTCAAACGTCCAAAAACACATAATTGAAACCACAAAATATCTCCATACTGCTCGTCCATAGTGATCCAAGTGTCCTGAATGTCGGGGCTTCAGGACACTTGGATCACTAGGGACGGGCAGTATGGAGATATTTTGTGGTTCTGTGGCAGACCATGACCTCTGACCTTCTTGGTGATTTGAGTGAGCTCGGAAAAAACAAACATCCACTATAATAAAATGAAAACAAAGTTTGCCCTTGTTTTATTTTTTACACCAACTGTCTACATCGGTCGACATATTGTGCTCAGTCTACACACTCTGCAGGAAGTGCTCTGGGGTTGGGTATCAGACAAGCATCTTTTAACCATCTTATCTGCTGCTGCGTTCATATGCACGGTAGCCTCATGACACTGCAATCATACTTTCAGAGTTATAACACAATACAGCAAAAAATACAGTATCTTTGGTTCAAGAAGACAAAAATCAGCAGGTGGAGAGAACAGATCTTATTATTATTTAGAGTGTAAATGTTTGCACTTGGGATAAAGGACATCCTGGTAAAATGATCACTGGTCACAGACATTAATGAGTTAAGTGTTTCAAGCTTAAGTATGCTCTGGGCTATGTCCCTATTCCAGGAACCTGTTCATCTGAATTATCTGGATTACTTCACAGAGTAAAACCTTGAACATCCTCAATTTTGTAACCTAAATAAATAAAAAATAGAATAAAATAGACTTGTTCTGTTTGTGTCACATCAGAGGTTGCATTTCTCAGATTAAATCGTTCCTATTTTTTATGTCCTTTTGATGTTTTATGTTAAAAACCTTGATCATAGTGATGCTGGAATGATCCTGGCATCAAACAGAAGTGTTACAGGATCATGAGTTGTTTAACACACGATATGTTGAGAGTCATTGTTTAAATGATGCGATGTTTCCATATGTATCTGGACAGTGCCGCACAGCAGAGCATTGTGACAAGAAGAGTTCCACCGCACACAGGCGTCACCAAAGACCCTTCACCAACAGGAAACTGTAAACCCACGGGGCCTCGCTCCTGCAGGATAGAAGATATGTTTTTTAGGGATAAAAGAAAAGAAACAATGGACAATTAGCATCATAAACAGTTGCAAGTTTTTCCCACTTCAGATTATGATAAGATTTATGAGAACCACCTGCTGAGGCTGGAGTTTAACCCACTGACATGTGCTTGAATTGTCATGGGTGCAGGGGGCATCCATGACAGTATGAGGCCCGAGGTTGTTGAGCTGTGTACCTAGAAGTAAGAGAGAAGTTTGGATTAAGGAAATTAGTTAACTTTCTGTCTCTGTCAGCTACACTTTTCATCCTGTGTTTCTGACAACCACTAGGAAGGGCCTTTAATAGTGAAGTAATTGTTATAACTGTATTTTATTGATATATTACCTTAATTAAATAAAACATATATATATATATATATATGTTAGGAAAATTTAAAAAGTTTCTGAGGAGACAGACATATGACAACACAGTAAAGACGATCCACTTACATTTTTCAGTCCGCAGCAGCAGCTCTGGAGGTTCTATGTCCACAGATGTAAATGTTTCGCCAACAAAAGAAGGCTCATGGTAGCGACCGTGTATTGGAATTGTGACTTTAAGCAGTCTGGGATTTGGTCCATCAAGGGTGGGATACACATAGGTGACAAACCCTGCAGTCTTGTGAGCAGGCAGCTCGAGGTCGATGGCTGAATCTAGTAATATCTTACAAAGGAGAACACGTACACAATCAAATTAATACAAATATGACAGTGTACATGAATGTGGTTTGTAATAGGGCTGCAACTAACGATTAGTTTCATTGTCGACTAATCTGTCAATTATTTCTTCGATTAGTCGACTAATGATTTTATCGAAAAATGTGTTAAAATGTTGAAAAATGTCGGTCTGTCTCTCCCAAACTCCAAAATTATGTCATCTAATGTCTTGTTTCATACTCACGCCAAAGGGTTTTAGTTCACCGTCATGGGAAAGTGTGTAAAGCTGCCAATATTTGAACATAAGAAGCTGCAATGGGGTATTCTGGGGTACTTTTATAGTGCTTTTCTATGAAAAATGACTCAAACCGATTAGTCGACTACTAAAATATTCACCGATTATTTTCATAGTCGATTAGTCATCAATTAGTCGACTAATCGTTGCAGCCCTAGTTTGTAATGTTGATTTCCACAAATGTTTTGGCTGAACTGCTTGATAGAAATGTTAGACGAGTCTGACAAGTGTCGGTCTTACCTGCCAATTACTTCGCTCGCTCAGGGATGCCAGCTGGTATGGATCAACATAGACACCTCTGGGCCATGTATGAACCAGCAAAACCCTGACCCCTCTGGACACATCAGGGCTGAGCTCAACAGTTGTTACCACCTCCCTGAAACACATCAGAAATCACGATGAGCGAGCTATGAATATGGTTATTGTTAAATGTTTTAAAAAAAATACACTGCCAATACCTGTGAAAACCCTTCTTGATGATCTCCACTGAAACTAGTGAGGATTCAAGCCACTGCTTTAGAAGACCACAGTGGTTCTCCTTCTTCTCATCTACAAAAATAGTTAGGTTGTATCGGTCAAGACCACAAGACTAGACAGGGAAGACTTTTTTATTACAACTGTAATAAAACACATTGATTTGTTATTTGTTAGGAATGAAAAAACATTAAAAAAGATGCCCCAGAAGTGGGTTCGTGGGGAACAGCCAGATACATAAGGTTAAATTAAAAATTAATATAGGATTGTTTGATTTTCCACCACCCAGGAAGCTAATGATGCTTAACTCTAACTTTTTTTATACTTAATAAGAGAATTAGACTGCATTAGACTCCCCGTCTTGCTTTATCATGCCAGAAAGAATGTTAATTTAAATTAAATTCAAAGTTTCAGTGACACACAGAACTAATCAGTTTTAGCTCGGTGTTAACAATAAACCTTACCCTTCTCGACCAAACAGTGGCATGTCGATAAAAAAGTCAACAAAGAATAAAGTACAAAATACATCAAAACAGTGGTGGTGAACTACAACAAGATTTTACAGCGTATTTATTTCATTTAGCGAGTTTCTTCTGTCACAACCGCGATGATGGCTCTTTGAAATTGTTTCCGGAAGAGAATGTTGAAGGACCCCTTCGTAGTTTCAGGACAGCTGCAGCAGTGCCTGTCTAAAAATACAAAAACGGGCATTGTGGAAAAGCTTTGAGACAAAATTTATGATTTAAAGGACCACTCAGACAATTAAATGTGATTGATTGGGGTTACTGTAAGTGAAATAGTTAGATTTTAAAATATATTGATTCAAAATGTAGTCAGGCTTCGTCGAGCCCGACTAACGTTAAGCGCCCAGGCAACGCTAATGCTCCTCAGCTCTCATCAACTCGACTGTCAAACGCCCTTTTACCGTAAACTGTGTTAATTATTTAAGTTAAAATGCTTTAGCCTTTAATATCTGAACCTAAAGTGGAGACCAGTTTGAACCAGACTGCTGCAGACATAAACAAGAGATGAGTTTCGAGGCAAAGCGATGTGGAGTTCAGTTCAGTCCCCCCTCTATAGTTTTAATTTACCAACACAAGGAAACTAAAAATGTGCGAAAAAGAATAATACCTGTACGGAACTTCTCAAAGTATTCTGGTAAGGCAAGACAAGTATTTTGCAACTCATACATAAAGACAACTTGTATTTGTTTTTTGTTTATTTGTTAGAATTTAATATTTCACCTTCTGTGCCTCTTATAATAGTTTACGTTTTACTTTAAGCACCTTCTATAAAAATGTAAAATATTTTAAGTAAAGTTATTTTTCATTACTTCTTTATTTTACCCTAAATTTCTGTTCAATTTAGACTACCCTGTGAAAAGGGGCCTCAAGTTTTTTCCCCTTTGAAACTTAAGGCTTAAGAGATTTACTTATCCCTTAAAACATGTCCTTAGTTAAGGAAGAACATTGAGGCATTTACTGCATTGAAAATGATTTCACAGTTTCCATGTGGACTGTTTGTTTACTTGTGATACCTGAGATCTCTTGTGCAGCTGTTCAACTAATTTAAAGGGATTTCTTAAGTATATGTATAAGTATATATATTAGTATATATATTTCTCAATTTCTATTTCCCTTTTTAATCGACTGTTTTTATTGTTTTAAATTGTCTTGTTGCTTTTAATGTCTGTGTAAAGCACTTTGAATTACCTTGTGTTCAATCAATCATCAATCAATCAATTTTATTTATAAAGCCCAATATCACAAATCACAATTTGCCTCACAGGGCTTTACAGCATACGACATCCCTCTGTCCTTTGGACCCTCACAGCAGATCAGGAAAAACTCCCCAAAAAAACCCTTTAACAGGGAAAAAAACAGTAGAAACCTCAGGAAGAGCAACTGAGGAGGGATCCCTCTTCCAGGACGGACAGACGTGCAATAGATGTCATACAGAACAGATCAGCATAATAAATTAACAATAATCCACATGACACAATGAGAGAGAGAGAGAGAGAGAGAGAGAGAGAGAGAGATGCAGGTAATGACAGTAGCTTACAACAACATTATTGAAAGTAATAATATTATAGTTATAGTTCTGGCTACTGTGGTACAATATGTTGAAAGTATGTATTAATATCTGGCAGTATACATGTGTGACAATAATCATATATTTGTATAATAACAGTAGAAGTATGACTAATGACTAATGATGGCAGCAGCAGCAGGAGGCATCTGGCAGGACCACGGCAGCAGCACAACCACACACATCACGCTGTCCAGGCACCGCTGTGATATGAGTTAATCTGAGAGACAGTGGAGCACAAAGGCTCCGGAGAAGAAGCCGAGTTAGTGACATCCAGAATGGCCGAGTTAGCAAGATGCAGTAATAGAATACGAGAGAGAGAGAGAGAAGGAGAGAAGGTGCCCGGTGTATTATAGGGGGGTCCTCCGGCAGACTAGGCCTAAGTCAGCCTAACTAGGGGCTGGTACAGGGCAAGCCTGAGCCAGCCCTAACTATAAGCTTTATCAAAGAGGAAAGTCTTAAGTCTAGTCTTAAATGTGGAGACGGTGTCTGCCTCCCGGACCGTAACAGGAAGATGATTCCACAGGAGAGGAGCCTGATAGCTGAAGGCTCTGGCTCCTGATCTACTTTTGGAGACTTTAGGGACCACGAGTAACCCTGCGTTCTCAGAGCGCAGTGTTCTGGTGGGATAATATGGCACTATGAGCTCTCTAAGATATGACGGAGCTTGACCATTTAGAGCTTTATAAGTTAACAGTAGGATTTTAAATTCAATTCTGGATTTTACAGGGAGCCAGTGCAGAGAAGCTAAAACAGGAGAAATATGATCTCGTTTCTTAGTTCCTGTTAGTACACGTGCTGCTGCATTCTGAATTAGCTGGAGAGTTTTTAAGGACTTACTAGAGCTACCTGATAATAGAGAGTTACAGTAATCCAGCCTTGAGGTAACAAAAGCGTGGACCAATTTTTCTGCATCTTTTCGGGTCAGGATAGGCCTAATTTTCGCAATATTACGCAGATGAAAAAATTCAGTCCGTGAGGTTTGTTTTAAAAATTGTGCTATACAAGTAAACTTGCCTTGCCTTGCCTATGTCCAAGATAAGCAGAAAACCTTAAATACTTAGGTGAACATTTTAAGGAAACATAAAGGAGAAGACTTAAGGCTGTTGTATTTTTTTTGTTTTGAGGAAGCCTTAAATCATGGTGTTTTGTGCAGCCAGCCCGTGACCCTTAGGTGCCCTCAGGGCTCCAGAAATATAACTTTGTAATTAGTTTGTGGCAACTTGATCAACTGCATTTTTTTTTTTTGTGTGTGTGGGAAATGCACTTAAAGGAAGGTCATTAATTTCACCTGATTCTAAGGCCCTTTCTGTTTGTGGGCCCTGTATCCAAACTTTAATTATTTCAGTTTACATAATAATACATATTCCTTATATGTTCAAATTACTACAAACGAGGCAGGGAGACTTCCAGTCTAAATTTCTGGGAAAATAATGAACATGCCAGGTGAAGACAGACATGTACACTGTTCCTGATGAATGCATGAAGGCAACAGGATACATACGTAGTACTCACAGATTGTGAAGGCACCAACAGAGGAGCCCCAGCAGGTTAATGTGACCCTCTAGTCTTCCACAGAGTAGTCTGAATCCTTGATATCCTCTCTCCTGAACCTCCAGACTACAGCATGGCTGCAGAGAGGCTGAAGAACCACCCCCGGCACAGGGACTACCTGGAGGGTGTGTCACAGAGCCAGCTGGAGAAGCTTCACATCATCCTGCGAGATCACATGCAAGGCTACTCCTTGGAGCACAGCCTGGCCTCGCTCCGCCTGGACCCTGACGAAGACCTGAACAAACTGGACGATGACGAGCTGGCTCGCAAGAAGGGCCAAATGGACGAACTGTTCGAGAAGAATCGGAGGCGCAAAGACGATCCTGACTTTGTTTACGACGTGGAGAAGGATTTCACCAAGACCGCCCAGGAAAAGTGCAGCTGGGATGAGGAGTCTGATGATGGATTTTGAAACTGTTCTTCAATCCTTTGACCTTTCAGACTGCAAATGACCTGACGTGATGTCCTCTGAGAGAACAAGACAATCTGCTGAGGTTTACTACAATGTTTTACACATGGTTAACTTCTGATGTTTGGTAGCTTTTTCCAGGATATATCTTCTTGCACACAGATAGTTAATTAGGTACACATATTTAAAAATGCACCAACTGTGATAAACTATCTTCACAGAAGTTATACTGCCCAGTTTTAGAGTGTCATATGACTTTAAGGGGTGGAAGGAAACTTTTTAAAAACTCTACAGTAGGCCTTTATCTCAGCATTTAATTTTCTGTGAAGGCAGAAAACTAAATGAAATACTTCAAGTTTGGAGAACGGTGACGACCTGAATACAAGCTACATTTACAGAGCCTTCACTCTCTGCTTAACGGCATCAGCCTGCATTAGAAAAGTAAGCAGTTAAAACTAAAGCGCTAACAGGACAATGGCCATATAAGAATTTGTTCTTAATTGCTTGCCTGGGTAAATAAAGTTTAAAAAAAAAAAATACACACTAGGAGAGAATCATAAAAAGTTGCTAAAAATATTAGTAAAACTAATCCCTGATGCAATATTCACATGAAATAATCTGCTCAAGAATTCATCCGTATCACTCCTTTTACAGACTTTGTGTTATTGTGGTCATCATTTGGATAATTGTTAAGTTTGTCAGTTGCTTGTGCTGTCACAGACATGCATTAAATAGAATATGAAATAGCCTTGAAATGTCAGTAAGTCAGGGATCGTCACTTTATATAATGATAGAAAAGGAGTCCACAGGAAACCACTGTTCTAGTTTGTTCTACCTAATAAACGTATCATAAAGTTATAGGAGCTTTATGCTGAATCCAAATGTCCACCCTCTGGGCTTGCAGACTGAGCCCTCGCGGACTTCTGTTGTATATGCTGTGACGAGTTCACCGTCATCACGTAAAGTCTGCGAGGGCAGAGACAGCAAGCAGCTGATAGACAGCACTCAAGACTGGTTTACTCAATGCCATGGAAACGTTCGAGTGACGATTACAATAATTGTTACTTCAGTCACATTCTGTCTTCTCATCTGTCTGCAGAGAGGATAAAAATCTCATGTATGGGGTCATTTAGTGAGTGAATAAATTAAATTTCTGTATAACGTATAGACTGCAGACATTCAAATAGACATGTTTGTAAATAAGGACCAAGCTACGACTAAATAAATCTGGTAGGTTTTTTTCCGGCCACTTTTCTAGCCTATATATTTAGCATCACACTGCCCAACCTCTAGGGTAGGCTGCAGTAATACAGTGCATTTTGTTTCCCCCCCAAAAAACCCCTAATAAACTACATGATGTCTGTATTGCAGTGAATTGTGTGCAGTTAAATCAGTGGTCTGCAGAAAGTCCGCTTTAGGTCCTTTGTGACTGGAGGAATAGTGAGTTTGGACAGCCCTAAGCACTGCCAGACTTACCGGGAACATGCCTGTAAAGTCCGTGAGTCTGCAAGTGCGAGCATTTGGATTCAGCCTCAGGTACAATTAGGAGTGGATAGTTGAGAACAACGCCCACAGCTACAGCAGCTGATCAGAACATTCCCAAACAATGACAGCAATAAAGACAATAGGTACCCCCATGTCTTATTTACCACTCAGGATAAACCGTCACTTTAAACACAGATCACATTTCATTTCAAACCGCAATGAATGAAATAATGCATGAATTATAGTGAATATTTATTTGTTATAAAATACTGAATTTTACAAAATACAAAGACTTTGGCTCTTTTATTTGTGGCTTACACCTAAGTGAGTGATATTCACAGTTGAATATGAAAGAAGATGCTAAAATCCTATTAAATAAAATTTGAGTGTACACCAATAAGTAAGCAATACAACAAATATATCTTTGGAAAAAAACTGTGTCCACAAAATATTGTATCATATCATACAAAACATATATGTGTGTATATATATATATATATATATTTCCATATAGTTTGAAGTGATGCACTGTGGCAAAGTTTTAACGTTTATCATAAAACCAAGCCTGCAGGATCAAACCTCTTCAGGGGAAAATTTCATTCAAAGTGCTTAAATACCTCATTCAGTTGATTAGAGACACTGACTGACTGACTGACCATTAGTACCACAATACATTCAAAAAGGTCGCAGGTTTCTTTGAAAATCAATAAACTGGTTTACATTGCTTCGCTTGTTTGGTTTAAGATCTTTTTTTTTTTTTTTTTTTTTTACACTGGTATCAATTGCAGTCGTTCATGCAGTGCTGACATTTTCCCTCAGGAGGTAGGTAACTGAAAATCTGACACATAATTCCTTTCACCACCAAAATTTGGTCAGGACTAAAAAGGTGTTTAAAATCGTTAATTCTCAGCAGGCTGTTAATTTGTTTTAAAAAATAGTTCTTTATAAAATTGATATTTCAAGTATGCTAAAGCCACAATCCAGGATTTCTGAGTATGTTAGTAATGACAATATATACACACACACACACACACACACACACACACACACACTATACGACTCGACAGGAAGGACTCTATGATTGGTGGTAATTTGTGCAACGTTTAACTCCACTGCCCAGACTACTTTAGCTTGAGTGCACAGATAATATATACATGTGAGTTATTATAAAGCTATTGGACAAAGACAGCCATCTTACATCCAATGACACTGACATAACATAACTGAAGTAACTGTAATAGAGTGAGATAATGGTGCTACAAGCGTAGCTATACACTGAATCTGGATTAGGCCTTAAAAAAATCTGTATGACCCACCATCTATGGAGAGTTATAGGGCTGAAATTATATATA